GGAAGGCTATAAAAAATACAAAATTTAATGAAAATGAGACAGCAACGGCTAGTGGTAAAAAGGGAATAAACACGCCCATCAGGAGTTCCAACCGCAATGTGGCAAACGCAGATAAAAGCCAGATTATCAAAGCTACAAGCGAGCCTGTAAAGGAGGTAGCAAGGTCTTATAAATGAATGGTTGTAATATTAGCGATTACATTGTAAAAATAATTCGTGTATGTGTTTTTTTTTCTAGTAAAACGAAAAAATTGTCACCTCGCGTCGAGGGAAGGCCAGACACCCGACAAAGACGTCGCGAATGCGAAATTCACGACAACAGTCCCAATGATTTGATGATTATTGAAAACCCAATTCAAAGTGTGGTTTATACGGTGGACGAAAGTGTTGAGCCAGTAAAAATCAACGGTGTTAATGGTGTAATAGGCAATGCTACCAATCAAAATGTAAAAAGTAAATTATATTCTTCCAATACACGGGAAAGATTTAAGTCTCAGTCCATGGATAAAGTACAGCAACCTAAGAATGATGTAAGCGCTTATGTGGACAGCGTGCTTAGTCAACTAGATGCTTTTGATAAGGAGTTGAAAGCGCAATTCAGCAGTGCAGGCATTGAATGATAGCGGTGCTACTTTCTTAGCAATAAAAAATAATAGCTTTTGTATATGTCCTTTTTTATAATTTTGTGTATGTAAATTAACGTGAATTTTGTATATTTGTAGTGATATTGTATACCAACGTTGTTAACTAGCATTTACAAATAAATTACAAGATATTTCGTATTTAAAATGTACAAAATAAAATTTTTGCTAAAATTAAGCTTTCCACAAAAAAAATCTAATTTATATTCTTGTTTGTTCTGATTTGCGTATACATATATATACTGTAATCGCGACCAAAACTGATAACGCTAATGTTGCGCCTATTATTGAGTTTTACATTTTCTGNTCAATAATGATATCATGAATGATAATGTGTACATTTTGTTTATCGAACTATATATTGTTTATGTATGTACATATTCTTATATTTATATAAAGGTATGCATCATGCGCATATGCGTATACACTTGTTACTTCATAGGCACACCGCTGCAAGGAACTAATCATTTGCTAAATAGCAGTCGTTTAGTAGGTGCGTTTGCCTCATTTGAAACTTTAAAGTGGATATACACACTTTTTTGCACGTAATATAATTTGTTGGGTGGGATGACTAATCTTTTTTATTCACACAGGCGATTGTGTAATTGAAAATGTGGTGGAAATTTACACTTTTTTGCGCTTGGA